GTTGCTGTTATGGAAGCTGGGGAGTCACCTTATTGAGCATCTTAATGGCTTCTATATGATGTGATGGTTCCAGAGTCTGCTGGTGTCCTTGGGGGTGGGAGGAGGGACAGAAACAGGTTCTGGGGAGCTGTGTGAATGTCACAGCTTCCATGCTATGTTGTTAAAGATTTACTCATTCTCTGATCACTTGCATTTGTATGTCATTGGACATGCTTATCAAGTTGTTTACAATGGATTTTATTGGCAAAGTTATGGAAAAAATGATCCCTTGCAGGCTACTGAATATGTCTGGAAGGTGACATAGAAAAGTGACATAGTACAGCCATTTTGGAACCCAGTGTAGGTGTTTCTTACAACTTTGAAATTAGAACTATCATATGACCTAGCAGTTCCACTCTTGAGTATGTATATATCTAAAAAAGATGAAACTAGTATGTCAAGAGACATCAGTGCATCCGTGTTCATTACAGCATGACTCACAACAGCCAAGATATGGAATCAGCCAAGTGTCCACGAATGAATGAATGAAGAAAGTGTGATACTACATCTGCCACCATTCTGCCTTTAACAAGTAAGGAAATCCTGTTGTGTATGACAGTGCACATAAACCTGAAGGACATTATGCTAAGGGAAGTAAGTCAGGTAGGATGCTGCATATCTGCGGTCTCAGCTACTTGGAAGGCTGAGGCAGGAGGATGGCAAGTTTGAGCCCAACCTTGGAAACCTAACAAGCCCTATCTCAAAATGGAAAATACAAAAGGAGCTGGGCTTGTAGCTCAGGGGTGGAGCTCCTCCCTGATGCGCTTAAGGTCCTAGATGCAATCCCCAGTACTTAAAAAAAAATGGCAAATACTACATAATTTCACTCATATGTGGAGTCAAGACAAGCCAAACACATTCAAGCAGAGCATAGAATGGTGGTTACCAGGTGCTGAGGGAAGAAGAGGAATTGGGCAGATGCTGGTCGAAAATGCAAAGTTTCAAGTGGGAAGAATTAGTTCAGATTTGTTACACAACACAGGTGACTATAGCTAATAACAGTGTGTATGTGAGAATAATATGTTGGATCAGTTTAGCCAGCCCATAATGTGTGCGCATTTGAAAACATCGTACCATACACCATACACATATAAATTTTTGCCAATTGAAAATAATTATAAAAAGTGAATTTTCTCTTCCATCATTAGTTCTTTTTTATGATTTCTATTTCCTGATTTATTGTATTTTAAGGAGACAATTATCAGGCATTTTAGGTCATGATCTTGAATTTCTTCTAAAGTGTGATGTCTGTATCTGACTTTCTTTCTTGGGCAGTAGAAATAATCAGAATGACCATAGTTTGTTCATCTTCTTAATACACTCGGAAATATATTTATTAAACACCTATTATGTGCTGGTTTTAGATTCTGGATACAAAACAGTGTCCAGAGCAAATTTAAACAGTTGCTCTTATGGGTTTTACACTCCAGGCAGTGCTGTTTTGAGATTAGGTAAAACTGGGTTTCATGCAAAGGAGACAAAGATGGGGAGGTGGCTGGGCACTTCAGACGAGGGACAGTTGCTCTTTTGTAATTCGGTGATCAGTCTGGACTCACTGGGAAGGTAATCCTTAAGGTGGGTCTTTATTCGATTCTTCCTGTATGAGTAATTAGCGTTGGGACCCCAGAAAGTCCTAAATCCAATGTACTTGTGCCTGGTCACGAGGGAACTTCAGGTTAGATGTGCCAGCTGCTAAAGCTGCTCTGCCTCGCAGGTGCTGCTGCTTAGAGACAGAAAGACCTTGGTGAGGTTACTGGAGAGGTCATGGTGGCTCATGACCTTTCCTCAAAGATGCATCTTTGTAGCTCACGCTATTGCCGTGAGGCTGCCCTAGGCTGGCAGTCATTCTTGACAGGCACCCCAGCGTCAGAAAGGCTGAGCTGGGATCAGTGTACCTGCTCACTGTTTCTCAGCACGTAAGCTGAGTGGTGTTATCCTGGTGCTGCCGCTGCCAAGCATGTAGTAGCTGCTTGATAAATGTGTTTAAGTTGATTGGCAGGTCCTAAGCAATGTGGCAAGCACCCCCCACACACACACACACACAAGCAATACGTGATGGCTCCTGTGATTTACTGCTGCCCGAAGATGAGAACATGGAGCGTGACCTGCAGTCCCTAGGGCTTGGACTTGATTGTTCTGGACATCATTCCTGTGTCAGCCTGCCCCTCACAGAGGGTCATGTGCTGAGTGTCCCGCTGTGCTTTTCTTCCTCTCTCCACTGCTGCTTGCCTGGGATTTTGACACAGTTTCAAAGCTCTATTCCAGCTCGAATACAGTCTGTTTTTATAACCTGGCAAAGCCAGCACTTGCTGATAATTTGTGCAAAGCAAAAATACCTTTATGAAAGAAAGTAGAACCAGCATCTACATCTGCATACTGCTTTTAATAAGGAGGCATGTTTTTGCACAGTGTATTTAGGAAAAGGGTTAACTGTGATTTCTGAGAGTAAAATCGGATTGGGGCGGCTTAGTACCACTCTTTAGGCTTCTGTGCTGAGGCATTTCACAGAAACATAGACATGGTTTCCTGGTTAAGTATAAAATCCAAAATTACTGGAGAGGAAAAGATGCGTGACCAAGAGAAATGAGACCAAGGGATCTGAGGTTAGGGAAAGATTACAAAATGCTTCGGGGTGTGGACTTCTGTCCATTGATACAGGTGGTACTGTATTTCGTGAATGGTAACATGCTTTCAGGAGACAGTTTCAGTATTTTATGAAGGCTGTCTCCTCCAAAAGGTGTGACCTAGAAAGCGGAGGCCTAAATCAAGGAAATCCAAGGACTTTCCCTACTGTGGTACTAGAAGTGAACCCTGGACCTTTGAACGAGCTGCGTCCCCAGCCCTTTTCTGTATATTATTTTGAGACGAGTCCTCTAAGTCACTGACTTGCTGAAGCTGCGCAGAACTCGGCATCTCTGTCTAAGCCTCCTAGAGGGCTGAGAGTCCAGGCGTGCGCCACCATGCCTGGCTAAAAACCCAAACACCCTTGAGAGCAATTTTTATTTGTGGGTTCTTCGTGTATTTGAATTTATACCATATCAGTGTAAGCACTGAGGGACAAAAGTTTCATTTCTTTAGAAAACGTGAATTCAGTTCTGTCTCTGTACGGAATGCTACCACAGAGGTATTATTTTCCAAGCCTTAATTTTATTTCTGCTTTGTTGGATAGGTTTGTGGTCCATAAACATTTTCTGAACCCCATATACCTAGGTATGGGGCATGTAAGGTGCAAAGACCAGACCAGGCCCCTGCTATCATGGAGCTTATAGGGTAGAGGGGTGGGCAAGACTGAAAGAAAAATCAGGAAGTGAGCACCCCTGTGGTGACAACTAATCAGAGTGATGTGATAGAGGAGACCGGGAACTCTGCAGAGTGCTAGTTAGGAAAAGACTTCTTTGAGGAAGTCATTTGTAAGCCAGGGCCTGGAGGAGCAGAGAGAGCCTGCGTGTGATCATTTGGGGGAAGAGCGTTTCAGGGTGAGGTGGCCTGGAGCTGAACACCTGCAGGGGAGAAAGCTCACAGGGGTCAAGAGCTGGCTGTGTGGCCGGGACTCTCTGAGGCTGGGGAAGGAGAGCGAAGCCGGCAGGGGCTGGGCGTTTCCAGCTTGAAGGAGAAGGTAAGCAGCCTGGGATTTTGATTAGGAGAATGACATTTGGTTTACAGAAGAACTCCCTGATGACCTGCTGATTGTGAACAGGCGAGAGAAGGGGGGAAGCCCACTGGCAAACTATGACTGATGTCCCCATGGCTTAGACTGGGGTGACTTAGACTCAGGGTGACAGCAGCTGGAACTTGCCGGTGGAGGCGGGGAGTTGGGAAGGATGGGATCAGAAATGGCTCTTAGGCGTGGGCAACTGGGAGATGTGTTTCCTGGGACGAGGGAAGCAGGGAGAAGCAGATTTGGGGGGAGATCAGTGTCTCTTTTGAGTGTGCCAGGTAGAGGTGCCACCACACAGATGTCAGCTAGGCAGTAAGATGTGCTAGCCTGGAGTTGAGGGCACTCAGGAATAATGGAATGCAGGTAGGACGACGGTATTTAAAGCCGTGCCTGAGCTGAGTCCTTATGTTCACCGCCGGGCACGTGCTGTACTCCAGTCCCTTGGGCTAAGCTTGTCTAGACAGACTGCCTCTGCCTCCCAGCTTTTCCTGGACTGGCCTTGCTTTTGAAGTTAGAGATCCACAACGCCACGGACAAAGGGAAAACACTAAAAAGAAACATTTGCTGGACCCATAGCGGTAGTGACTGGAGTCTCCTTGTGTACAGTTGTCAACATTGTGATCATCACATTGTTTACCAAACTAAACACTGAGTTCAAAAGTGAGGGAGACATTAAGAGATGGGTTCTGGACTCACACTGTGCTCTTTAAATGCTGTGAACTGATACTATCTGTTATTGGACCTGTAATATAAATAAGTACTAAAACTAATAAAATTGCACAAAAGGAAGTTTATCGTGCTACTGACTTCCACCATTTTATGTGCCTACTTTGTTGAAATAAACCAAACTAAAAAAAGAAAAAAGCTAAAACTAAGAAAATATGAAAATATGCCTTTGCTTTCAGATAGTATTTGCATTTTGGATTTGATAGTTTTATTGGAATAATTTTGACATACGGATGTGTTACATGTTTAAATGATCTTTGTGGCTTCTTCTGTTATTTTGTTGCTTTGAAAAATGTTCTTTATCCCTCTTGGTTGGCTGCTAGTTTTCTGGCTAGTTTATTTTCTTTGCTCACAGGTACATGTGAAATTTATTGTGTTGTATAGAGCAAAGTTTACAGTTTCAGTTTTTGGTGTGCATGTGTGTGCGTGCGTGTGCATGTGTGCATGCATGTGTGCGTGCGTGCGTGTGCATGCATGTGTGTGTGTGTGTGTATTTGCCTTCTCATAATAATTTGAGGTAAAAAAAACCAACAGGAATGAACTTTTGTTTTTCTTGACTGATTCTTGCTGGTTGCAGGTCAGCGCTTCAGATCAGCTAGCTGGCTATGTGGTGAGCTCAAGGACATCATCGAGCAGGACGACAGCCATCAGCGAGCTCTTCCTGTCTGTTCTGAATGTGTTCTCGCTGGCTCTGGCCTGGCAGGATGGTGTCACAGTCCATGAGCTGGCGAGATTCTCCTGCGGTCCCCTGGGAAGGGATCAGCCATGACTCTGGAGACACTGACAGTTCGGCGAGCCTCCAGGACACAAGGCCCTCGCCTTGCCAGTTAGATGTCAGGTTCACAAGGCGCAGAGCTGCCTGGATTACTCCCTCATGTGTGCAGCAGCCACCGCAGGACTTGGCACCCCAGCTGCCAACAGCAAGGAACAGTGAGAAGCACTTTAAGGCCCATTCTTCCTCTGCCTTGGACCCTTTGCTGCTGTCCCTCAGTGACCTGGCAGAGACGTCGTTATCTGAAGATACCACAGACTCCGTGGGCAGAAGCAGTGCCCACGGCTCAGGGGAAAGCGGTAACAGCTTCTCCTTGGCCTCCACAGAGGAGCCCGTGGCACTCCCAGGACAGCCTCCGCAGGCATCTCTGTGCTCAGGCTCCAACATTTTGACCACTTCCCCAACGCCTGGGATCGAACCTGCTGAGTCTTCCCCCTTGACAGCTTCTGAGGATGAAGGTAACTTTAGTTGGTCTCATCATTCCCATCTGTTCACCTGCTTGCTTGGTCTGCGTCTAAGTCTGCTGGTTGTGATCCCCGTGAGAGGACAGTTCCTGGGCTTCCGCTTTGATGTAAGCCAGTGCGTGAGCTCGTTACTGTGATCTGCAGCCCAGACATTGGATGATCACAGCGGGAGAGCCAAGACTGTCTTCTTCGGCTGCAGAGGAAGGTCATCTCTTCAGTTCAACATAGCTGCCTCGGGAAACTTACAGCTCATTAAATTATCTGCAGGGTAGAGCAGCAGAAGCATTTTCAGCTGTGTGGCTGGTGGGAGGCATTTCCAGACAGGCAGATAAGAGCTCGTCTTGCCTATTTCCCTGTATAGATTGTGATGAGAACACAGCAAAATGAAAAACAGTAGTCACAGTTCCTCAGAAAGACTAGATGAGTTCAATTCCTGGTTCAAAAAAAAGACTATACAAAGCTTTCATCCTATTGTAAGAAGAGCTTGCAGTGCTGAGGGCTAGTGTACATATTCCTAAAATTCCTGAAATGAGCAGCCAATCCATGCAAAGTGCTACCCAGCAGTCAATTAGTTAGCTATTGTTTTTGTGGCATGTGTATGTTGTTTTAAACATACTCATCATGTTCATAACAAAAATGTTATTTATATTTAAAATACTAATTATGCAGCATTTATGTTTTGCATTATTTATATTTCTGTAAGAACCCTACTTCAAATTATTGATATATTTTTCCCCTCTAATTAATTTAAAAGATGTCTACTTGCCTGCTGCCTGTCCATTTATGTATTTGCTTCTCATTAGCAGGAACCCATCTTCCTTTCTCAGACAATCGGATTCATTTCCTCAATTCATTCCTTTCAATTTGAAAAATCAAAGATGGTGGCAATCTATGTACATTGTCCATCGCTTAAGGGTAGCAGACTTTGGATACTTTTCAATGGCTGATTTTGAGATAAAATCCAAATTTGAGCAAATTGCAAGCTTTTTTCCCTATCTTTTGCTCAATTGCCATGATAGTTCTTAGGATAAAATGTGACTTTCAGACCTAGTGGTTGCCAAATAAGATTAATCTGCTGTTAGATGGTCTTTTGGAAATAGGTCATCTCTCTCACATCTCTCTCAGAGACAAGTTATAATCTATCACTGACTGAAGATTTTCTTTGGGCCTAATATATCCCAGCCCAAAATATTTGTACCACTGTATTTGTTGTACCCAGTGCTGTAGCACTGGGACAAGGACTTCCAACAATCCTCAATGCCTGTAAAAGCCATTCAGTGCCAGGCACAGCGGCACATTCCTGTGACCCCAGCTACTTAGGCGACTGATGCAGGAAGATCAAAACTTCAAGGCCAATCAGGGAAAAGTAGCAAGATATTGTGTCAGAATTAAAAACAAATGAAAAGGTTTGGGGCTGTAACTCAATAGCAGAGCCCTTCCCTATGATGCGCCAAAATTCTTGGATTCAGTTCCAATGAAATGAAAAAAGTAGCTGGCTACGGTGACCCAGCCTGTAATCCCGGGACTGTGGGAGCCTGAGGCGGGAGGGTTGTATGTTGGAGCCAATCTGGCCAATTTAGTGACCCAGTGAGATCCCATCTAAAAGTACGAAGGGTCAGGGCTATAGCTCAATGTAGAAGGCCTGTATTCAATTCCCATTACCACAAAAACAAAAACCCAAACACAATAAAACTACTCAGTGTTTGAGAGTCTCTCTGAAACCTGGTAAAGGAATTTATTCCATAGGATTAGAAACAGAAGTCCTGAGTGATCTAGTTCTTTGTTTTAGCATAGGGTAGCAACGGAAAGAACAGGCTTTAGCTACTTGGGTATTCCTAGGATCATTGCATCTCCAATGGTTGTAGCAGGGTTTTCCTCTCCTGGAAGATGCCACACGAGCCTGTAAGCATTTCCTGAGGTCCTAGGAAACAGCCCCACCATTCCTTTCTTTGCTCAGCATCTACACATTTATAAAGCACCTTGACATCCCTTGTCTCCTTACTGTCCCAATAGGTAAAAATTCCAGTTTACTGCATGAGGAAACTTTGTGGCTGAGGAGCAGCTGGTGAGCAGACCGCTGTTCCACTCTGTCCGTGTCTCTGTGCCTTTTCCTCTTTGCCAAGTCTGCACCTGTGACCTGTGAGCTAAATCTTACCAGCTCTCTGTTTTTATCAAAAACATTTTATGAATAGATGCTTGCTTACGACAGTGGCAGGGTAGAGAAGTAGCTACAGATACAGTAGGGTATTCCCTGATACTCCTGTGCTAGGCCATGCCTGGCCCTTTAACGAAGAATTCACCAATCCAGATGGCTTCTGAAGCCAAGAGGTCCCTTGTGTTCCACGCTGCAGCCACTTTCTTGAATGTGAGGCAAGGCTTTTGAGTAACCTTGCTTGCTTTGCAGTCAGTGACAGGAACTCAACCACCAGGACATTGCAGCAGTTTGTTCTAAGTTAGCAGGTTGGGTTAACTCAGCTCTTGTCGCTGTTATTAAAAAATTTAAAAAAAAATGGGTTTGAGTTCTAGCTCAAACATTCACATTCAGTGCCACAGCACGAAGTCACATGACACAGAAAGTACCTGTTTGGATGGTGGTTATTGCCTGTAATGAAGTGGCCACAGGTGCAGGAATGGATGATTCAGTGGAGTGCACTTTCTGCAGCCTCTTGTTGGGTTCTGATGACAGGAAGACCATTTTAGAGAAGCAATGGTGGTTTTCTCAGATGCTTTTGTTGCATAACAGGAAGTTTGACGTCAGCTGCACTGAGTTGGGGAAGTGAGCCGGTAATTCGTATGTTCTTGCTTCTGGACTGCTCTCCCTCTTGCTTCCCCCACGTCGTGTGGGTGTTTCCCACGATTCTGTGTCGTGGCCACCTCCACTGCACTGGTGCTTCGGTGGCTCCTCTGAACAAACTTCTGGTTACTTCCTTGACCTCCTATAGAAATGACCATCACTAGGGTGGATCTTGCAGACCTACGAACATCCCAAAGGTCTTTCTTCTTCACCTATCTTGTTGCTGTATTGTGCCAGTTGTTTTGCTTTTAAAAGCTGTGCCCTAGGGTTGATTTATTTTCTTAGGGAATCTCTGAACTTGCTTGGTTCCACTTTTAATAACCTAGTGTATTGGCAGGTGTCGTGCAAGGCAGTAGAACAGCCATTGCTTTGAATTCCTTTCCACCCGAGGCATTCATGCTGCCTGTGGACATAGAAAAGGTGAGTGATGCCTTCTTTTTAAACACCAATAATCTTAACCCCTTAATTAGTGCTCTTCTGATCTACATCTGGAAACGTTGCTTTGAAGAGGCACAATAAACTGGTTTCCTTTCAGGAGTGTGATTGGTGGCGACTGCAGGTAGTGATAAACCTGAGACAGGTTGTGGGCAGAGTCTACTAAACTGGAGAATTTTTTGTTCGGTTATTTGTTTTCCGAACTCAGAGGCTTCACACTGAGCTAGAACTCAAATCCATTTTTTTAAAAATTTTGGGACAGGGTTTCACTAAGTTGCTAAATTGTCAGGCAGTGTTGTCATGTGCAGTCCTCCTACCTCAGCCTCCCAGAGTGCTGGGGCCACAGGCATATGCCTAGATGGGAAGTTGACCATAACTGATGAATGGTATCTGCTACTTGGCCACAATCAGCCTGCGGTTTCTTATCACAAGAAATTCAGTGTGGGATGTCTGTTGACCACAACACAATAAACATTTGTCTCTAGATGATGTGCTTTATGAGTTATAAGTGACCTGATAACCCAGTTAAATGAACACTGAGATTTATATATATGTTAACTTCACTTACATGTAACTTCTTGTCACTTACATGTAACTTCTTGATTTTCAAATCTAAATATTCTTCACAAGAAAAAATTGGTTATGCTAGTACTGTAATGGATTCTTTTTCCTTGCAGGAAAATACCCACTTTTACATTGCAGATATGATTATATCAGAAATGGAGAAAATGAAGTGTCACATTCTGAGTCAGCAGCAGACACAGCTCTGGGGCACAGGCGAAGTCGGCAGTTCACTTGGGAATGACCGGGCTGACTCTGAAGCTGCCTCCTACAGCCACGAAAAGCAAGAGTCTGGCTCTTCCAGTTCTTCAGACAGTGGCTATGAAGGCAAGTTGGCAGAGGCAGTGTGCAGTTTATGTTTGGATGTCTTATGCATCACAGGACGTTTTCAAGGTGGCTACAGTGTGTGATGCTAGGATCAAGGGTGTGTGATTAGTAAATCAGTCTATTACTGCTTGGTTTTGTTTAGTTCTGGCTGGGATTAAGGGTGAGTGCTACACCGGCCCTAGGGCTGGAAGTCTGCATACAATATAAAGGACAGAAAGAGTAGTTGTTTCTCTCCTTGCTTTCGCTGTCTTCTGACACCATGAGTGGTTGCCCCCTGCCATGTGCCACCCTGCCTTGGATCCAGTGGATTATGGACTGAAACCTCTACAAACTGTGAGCTAAGTGAAGCTTTCTGCCTTTAACTTCAGGTGTAAGATATTTTGTTTTAGCAATGAGTAAAGTAACTAAGACAAATAAGGAAGTTTTATTCTTCGCATGCATCTTTTCTGTTCTGTCAAGTCCTGACATATGTATGTCCCTAAATTCTTTGTCTTAGCTGGATATGGTGTCACAAGCCTGTAACCCCAGCACTCTAGAGGTTGAGGCAGAAGGATCACAAGTTCAAGTCCTGCTTGGGCAACTTAGTGAGACCTGTCTCAAAATAAAAAATAAATGAAAGGTTGGCGACGTAGCTTGGTGTGAAGGCCTTACATTCAGTTCCCAGTGCGAGGTACATACATACACAACCTCCTTTTTTCTTGAGTAGCCCCTGTAATCCTTACCATTTCACTGCCCTTTGGCCTTGGGTTTGGTTATTATGTTCCATCCATTTTTCAAGTCCTATGCTTTGTTCTGTTTTTCCATGGACTTAGTTCCACTTTGTAGTGGCTGTCTACCTCTTGTGTTTTGATCACATCAAGCTTGTTGGTCCCCTTCCACATTCTTTCCTTTTCCAAGTAGACCTTTTTCATTCATCAACGAACAGTGAGCCTACAATAGAAATGCTGGGGATGGGTGGTGCCCAGGATGTGTGCCTTCCCTCCAGGAGTTTACATGCTAAGGCGGAGACCCTCGCAGCCAAGCAGGACGAACTCAAGAGCAGAGACCAGGATCCCCTGCACTGGGTCTCTGGTGAAACTTGCTTCATTTTGAGACCCAGAGGAAAGGGTACCTAAGATGGCAATGACCATTAGCATTTTTTACTTCCTTATTGTTTCCTAAATTCAAATCCTCCCTTCAGTTCTGTTTTTTCTGTATTCCATTTCTGGTGGATTTTGTTCACTGCATAGCACCCATTACTTTCTTTCTCCCTAGTCTTTGCTTTTCCTCTTTTCCAAGCATTTACTTTCTGGAGCTAGGACCTGTTGAACCTGACATTCTGGCTGACCCCCAGCACCTCTGACTTAACCCTGATTTCTGGGTAACTCAAAGCACTTCATTTTCTCTGTTGCTGATCTATGTAGGTAACCTCTGACTTACGTCTGAACTAGTTATCTTTACTCTTCCACACCCTCTTTGCTTATTAAGAGAAAAAAATTAAAGCTTGTTTTGCATCTTTACATCTGCAAAGAGTCTATTTCCAAATGAGGCTGCAATCACAAGTGTTTCCCTACCTCCAGAGCTTGTGAGTTGTCTTGGTTACTTTTCCCATTGCTGAGACAGAAATTCTTGACACCCAAAGTTAAAGCAGGAAAAAATTTACTTAGCTCACAGTTTGTGGAGGTTTCAATTCATAGTCATTCATAGCTGGCCGACTCCAAGGCAGGATGGCATGGCAGAGGGGTTTACAGAGGAGAAACAGTTCAGCACAAGCAGAAGGCAGTGAAGAAGCAGCAACTGACCACAGCAGCCCTCTTTCTGTGCCTTATACCGTATCCGGGCTACCGTCCTGGGGAGGGCCCTCCGAACCAAGCAGGGACTAATTTAGTAACCACACACTGGTGGTCCCAGCATCACGTACTCTAGATCCAGCTTTCTCTGAAGAGCCTACCTACAATCACATGAGGCTTTGGGCAGACATCTAGACACCAGCCATGACATGTATGCTAAGGAAGTATTCTGTCATTGAACCACATCCTTTTAAGCAATTATTCTTTTGAGTTGAGGTCTCATAAGTTGTCCACGCAGGCCTCAAACTTGTGATCTTACTGACTGAGTCTCTCAAGTAGCTGAGATTACAGCTGTGTGACACGTTGTACCTGGTTTACATTCACAGGTTTAGATGGACAAGAATTTTGGGACACACTCCTCAAGCCAGCATAGTGTTTAGTCTCCTATGCTGATTAGTATGTATGTACACCGATACCTCACTGTGAAGCTGATGCTGCTTTTTTTTTTTAACCTTTTTCTTTTTTTTTAATCCAGGGTGTTAAGCATTATAGGCAAGCACTGGACCACTGAGCCCTCTTTCATTTTTCATTTTTAAATTTACATTACAGAATTTTTTAAACCTATCTAAAGGCAGATTACTGTTATGAAGTCTCGAAATATTTCTCTTAATCAGAGTGAATGTAAAAGTACAAAATAGTTTCTTGCATTCTTTTTATCTTGGAGGCTGAATTTTTAATTATTTTAAAGTAATTTCTTAGCCTTTTCATTTCCAGATTTGTGTTTAGTTGGGTGTTGAGGTTGCATGGTTTTTCTTTCCCTTCCTGATGACAAACTCCCTTTTCTTTTTCTAGGTTGTGCTGTGTTACAGGTTAGCCCAATGGCTGAAGCACCTTCTTACAGTAATGTGCTCGAAGAGGCCAGCAAATGTGACTTGGATGAATTTGTCATTTTAAGTAAGATTTGGGAACTCACCGGCTATCACTGGCTGCCTCCTGCTCCCCTTTACACACACAGATTGACATGTATCACACACAATCCATGCGTTCAGGGAAACTTAGCCCAAGTCCAGATTATATCTCTGACATTAAAAAGTACTTGTTCTTGTTTCAGATGTCTTGATAGCTAATCTCTCACCTCACTTGGGGAACTGAATGAAAAACAGATGTTCACTGTGGTCTTTTATTTGCTTGGTTTCTGTTACATTTTGGTGGCATTTCAGATGAAGTTTCGTCTTCGGTGGTAATCGGTAGTCTCCTGAAGCTGTCAGTAGTTAATTTGCTCCTGGCAAATATGAATGTGCATTGAGAAGAATGTAAAACATGGAGACACTGCATAATTGGTTCTTTCTGAAAGCCAAGGAGCTATTGTATGTTCTTATAAAATAATGGGCTATGACTGGGTGAAACAGACTGAAACATCTCACTGCCTGTTCTTCCATTTCTCCACAGAACTTGAAGAGTTTAATGATATCGTAGAAACCCACAGGTGCACCTGCAGCGCCTCTACAAGGTATCTGTCATCCATATGCAGTTACTCACAGGTCCACCGAGAACGCTGAGCCTCTGCTCCCTTGGCTGGGTGAGCCAGTTCTAATGAGGGGAACAACACAGAAATCAAGCAGCCCCCCCATCCCATATCTTCAGCTTAGTGTTACTACCCGAGACAACTAACTTTTAAAGAGAAAAATTTTAAAGTAAATAAATAAATAAAAATAAAGAGAAAAGTTTTATTTAGCTCACAGTTTGGGAGTTCAAGGGCATGGTCTGAGGTCGACTGTGGTGAGGACTGTGAGGGTGGCCTGTCACGGCGCGAGTGCATGTCAGAGGGTCGTTCACATCTTCAGCCAGGAAGGAGGATCCTGCACCCCCGGTGACCTAAGCCCACTTCCCAAAGGTTCCACCATCTCACAATAGGGGCAGTACTACACATATTCCAGCCATGCAGCCCCAAAGTTTCTTTAAGGTTTAATAGTGCATATCAGGGCTTGCTATGTATTTTCATTTAGTTCTCATGAATCAGCCAGGCAACATTCATGTTTGTCTAAACAGCCAGCAACTAACAGGATGCTCATCTGGGATGTATCTTAGATCGCAATGCTACTAAATAACAGAAGTAGGGCTTCCTTGCACCCAGGACTTCTGAATTTAAATCCATTGCTCTTTTCCCCAGACCCCCAAGTCTTAGTACCGTGATAGAGAACACATGCTCTATTAATTGAGCATGAGAAGAAACCATTTCACACAAAACACTCAGCCAGCAATTGATGCTTGCTTTCACCTGGCGGCTTCCTCTGAGTTATGGAATGTGGCAAACAATGATAACCTGGTAATCCTGAACCCGTTTCTCATGCATGTAGTTTTCTACTTTTGCACCTCTTACATTTCAGTGTTACTTACGATCCAGACTTCAATTCTGCTGAGCGATTAGCCAGAGAGTTGTACCAAGTATTCCAGAAGTCCTGGAAGTTTTCACTCGTCAGTTATCAGCTGGAAGGCACCCCGAAGGCATCCAGCTCAATAGTAAGTAAGAAAATAAATTGATCTTGAATCAGAAGTTCCTGAATTCTCATTGGGGCTGGCCCATTGACTTCAACTATGTTTCTTGTGTGGTCACTGAGTGAAAACTCTAAATGAATGACAAAACTGACACATATTGAGTACCAGGGATCTGTGTACCAGGGATCATGTTGTGTGGTTCACAGTTCAATCCTTCAATATATCTTTATTGGTAGATATTTTCCTTATTTTTATTTCAAAGTCTTGGTCCAGACCTCAGCAGGGCCTATCAGAAGCTCAGTGGGAGTCATGCCCAGACGGCTAGACTGCTAGTTTGGTGATCAGCTCTCCTTCTCTCAGAGGATGTGCTGCCTTCTGTGCAGCCACTGGATCAAGGACCTTGTGACAGGAGGAGGGCGGGACGAGGCATTCTGGGAATGTGGGTGAGGAAGGTTCAATTTTATCTGGGGAATTTGGGAAATCTGAAAATCTCAGAAGTTGAGATCAGTTTTGGGTGGGACAGCACTGAGGCAGGTGAAAATGTTGTAAGGTGTCCTTGGCAGAGCGCTGCAGGGACAAGCTCAGGGGCCTGGCAGTGTATCCATGAGAGTTAAACCAGGGGACATGGCATGCAAACCTGAGGAATGACAAGCGAAGCCACTGAACATTAATGGCCAAATGGAGCTTTTCTCAAAGCCTGGCCACAGCAGAATTCCAGTATTTGTTGGTCTCTTGACTGAGGCATGGTGACTTTTGTAACTCATGAAATAGTGCAAGTCAAAATGACCTATTTGCTGTAAGTCCAAAGTCTGGAAATGAACTAAAAACAAAAGAAAAGTGGTCTTACCTGGGTGTTGGAGGGCTCTTGCCATGTTCTTTAGTCCAATTGTAAGCAGTTTCAGTTTCTCACAGTAAATTTTAAGAAATATATTTGAGTGTTCTTTGTAATTTAAACTCTTTTTTTTTTTTTTTGTCTTTTTCATTTTTTATCGGTACCAGGGATCGAACTCACGACTGCCTGCTTGCAAGGCAGGCGCTTATGCCGCTGAGCTAAATCCCCAGCTCCCTAATTTAAACTCTTTAAAAAGGCTTATTTAAAGTATCCTTAAATCCTCTTATGTGTTTTGCAGGTTATAAATGAAGAGCATGTCCGAAAAGACTTTGAATCTAGTATGGATGTAGTACAGGGAATTAAACTTAAGTCTAGGATGAGAGGCATTGAAGACTGGGAGCCCCCTAGATTTCAAATCATATTTGATATTCACCCACCACTCAAGTAAGTATTGGCTGCTGCCTGAAACTCAGTCCATGTAAAATATTTTTAGTGTATGTGCTGCCTAAGCGAGCACATCGATTTAAAATAGGTGGGATTCATCCCACTGATTCTTCATGGAAGCAGAGGAAAGAAAAAAAAATATGCTGCGGGACACAGGAAAGCTTATTTAAAAAAAAAGAAAATTAGGTATATTTTTCTGTGTTAGTTTTTTCAGCACCTTGTTTTTCTGGGGCTTTTGGGGGCTTTTGTAAATTAGGTAGGTGGAGGATGTGACTGTACATCCCTAACTATGGATATTGCACAACAATTGATAGTTATATAGTATTAGAGGGGATGTCAAGTGACTCATATTGAAACTGAACAATGCAGTAGTTTTAAGGCTGGACCATTCTATTTTCCAGTGGAGTTAGCATGTAGTGAAAACAAATGAATATATTTTTTAAAAAGAAAATTTAACCTTGAGGAGAGCCCCTACCTTTGAAAAATGCACAAAATATCTTTAGTTACTCTAAGAAGTAACTAAATTTCTTTAAAAAAATCACAAAACAACAACTAACATGATGTACAGAAGGAAATAAACCTGTGTATAAGTGTGTGTATATTATGTATGAAGTAGTGATTTGATTGGGATTTGTTCTGAGAGTATACGACAGATTATAGACAAAGATTAGAGGCCAAAAGCATTTTCACCAAGTACAACTTTTGCATTTCTCTTTATTTGTGTTGAATTTGATGTGCAAACTTCCAAGAGTTATGAAGGCACTGGTGAGGGTTGTTGGCTGCCCCCGGTGCCTTATAGAAGGCACTCTCTCTGTTGCCTTTTGGTTTTGAGGGGAAGCAAAAGTCTGTGGGGCTGCTTGGCAGAGGAGCTAGCTTTGTAGGCATTGTGAGGGTCACTTTCCCTAGTATGGGGTGTCTTCTCTCAGGGTTTTCCGTGAGTCCTCTCTAAGGCACATGAGCAGAGACTTCACTTATTTTTACCTTGGTCACTTTTACTGAACTGGAACTGAAATCAAATTTTCCAAATCACATGGGACATTATGACACAACAGTTCAACAGAAAAAATACATTTTCATGACATAGCTCTTAACTAGAGATGAGTGACAGCTTTGTCTCACGTAACCTCGTATTCATCTAAAACTTTGCATTCATTTGTGAACTTTGCAAGCAGGTCATCTTTTGATATCTGGGTAACTACCTTTCACTATAGCATATCTTTAGTTCTCTCTGGACTTAACTTCTCTATATGGGCAGGGGAAGCCCCTAAAAAGCTATTAGTAGAATAATAATTTGTGGTACCGACTTCTACTTTGGGGATAGCTGAGCCTTTTTAAGAGTTCTAGCTGGAAAAAGACATAGAGGTTTTAACTAGAAAACTGTATTGAATATAATACCTTTTTTTCCAAAGAGAAATGGTAAAATTAAGGCCCTTACCCAAGAAACATGGCACAGCTGCTTTTCCAGTCAGTGAAAATGTTCTACTTGGTTGCCTCTGGAATATAATGACTACCATTTTCTGTCCTCAGGAGAGAGATGGGGGTAGTGGCCCAGAATTTTTTCTGTGCTGGCTGTGGAGCTCCGATAGAGCCTAGTAAGTATGCATCCCAGATACCTGGCTTATACATGATGGCAGAGCAAAGAGTAACAAGAATTGGCAGTGTATCTGTGGCAGTTTGTGCCATCTTGTGAACCACCCTTGTTTTAAGAGCTGTCTTCTCTTTCGAGTAGAGGCTGACATGACCTGTAAGACTGTGGGCCCACCCAGGAACTAGGGGGACCAGTACCCTAGCCATCTTCCCATCAGGCACTTGGCCTCAGTCACATGGCCTCCCCACTGGAACCTTGAAAGCACCACTCTCCTGACCTGGGGATTTGCATTTGTGGGTTTCTCTCCCCAGAAGCCCGATCCTGCAGACCTGCCCATGGCTGATTCTTTTGCCTCCTCCGCATCTTCATTCAGATATCCCAAGGTCTTCCTGGCTACCCTGTGTAGAGTGCCCACTTTGCTATACTTATGTTCACAAATAATCACGTATATTTTTTAGATTCCTTTTTCTCCTCATTTTTCCTAGAAAATTCTCTTACCCTGATTTATTATCTCTTTCCATCACTAAATTATAAGGGCAATATGTTGCTGCTTTAGTTCATTGTTTTATCTCGTTTTGAAAGGACTGCCTAGCTTGTGGTTGGTCATTAGAAGACATTTCTCATGCTGGGCGTGGTTACACATGTCACGTGCCTGTAAGCCCAGCACTTTGGGAGGCTGAAGCAGAAGGATGACAAATTTAAGGCCAGTCTGGGGCTACATACTGATTTTAAGGCCAGCCTGGACGATATAGTGAGATTCTGTAGAAGGAAAGAAGGAAGGATTGTCCAGTGAATGGTTTGTCAAGGAGCTGGCCAGATTTCTCTCAGTTTGAAGAGGTGGCCTGAGGGCATCATATCTGGGTTGGGCCCTAAAAAATCAGGCTTTGCCCAGCTAGACTGGGAATTCCTTGTTCTCTCATGAGGGGCTATACTTCAAGAGATAAAAGTAGGAAACAAAAATCTGCCCGGGCTTCCTCTACTACCCCGATGACAGGCATCAGAGTTGTAACTAGTCTTTAACCAACTCATTTTCTCATGGTCCTAGCGTGACCAGGACCGTGTCTGCTGATCAGCCACTGCATCCCAGTGCCTCATAAATACTGAATGCATGAGTTACACACTAGTCACGTGACTATGATTCCACCAACTTTCTCAGTACTTTCCGAAGTTTGTTCAGGCGTGGAGCTGTGTGCCTGCCCTGTTGATGCAGTGGTGATTTTGTAAACATGGTGCTGCCTAATTTGTGACATCTGCTTTCTGCTTTGTAGGGAAGTCATAATCATCAGCCAAGAAAGTGAAGAAAAAAAAAAAGAATGATGTGTGTTACGAAAGAGAAAGACAAAAGTGCGGTGGTGTTCACAGCTGGGGGATTTAACCTGGGCTTGGGATGGGAAAGCCTGGCAGTGAGGGGCCTTGCAGGGAACTGATTATCTCCCGGGGTCCGGTGGGCGCGAGTCGGGGTTCATCACGTTCCCAGTGCCTGCGGCAGAGGAGAAGAAAAATGAGAGGACAGAACACTCTCCAAAAGTAGGCAGAGCAGACCGTAGATAACAGTATGAAGTATGTAAATAATTTTGGACTTTCCCTGCAAAATTTCTCTAGCCCTGAGGACAATTTTTTTAACTTTATATATTTGGACACCACTTTTAAACCTACAAATGAGTTGCAAAGATACTATGGAGAGTTCCCAGGCAGCTTTCCCTGGTGTCAACATCTAATGTAATCTTTGTATGATTATAAATCTGAGAATTTAGCGTTGGTTACAGCTCCAATAACTATGTCAACAGCATTTATCAGATTTCACCAGGTGTTCCCTAAGGTCCTTTTATCTGTTTCAGAAGCCAGGCTGGAATTCTACATTGAATTTACTTGTCATGTTTCTTTAATTTCATACTCTAACATGACGTTTTACCCTTATCAGTTCAGCACATCCTAAAAATAAAGGTGATAAACAATTTCATACCAAAACATAACAATTCTCTAATATTGTCCACTACTGGTCCAGTTTCATGTGTTGTTCTCAAGATGTGATACATGGCTAATTTTTCCATTCAAGTTCCAGCTGAATTTCATATGGTCTTAGTTCCCTTTGGTTAGCTTTATTCTACACTACTATATCCAAGATGGTGGCTGCTAGTTCATATGGCTACATACATTAATTTTAAATTAATTAAAATGTAAAATTCAATTCAGTTATGCTAACTTTTGGCCAGCACAGATAAAAACTATCCATGCTCATAGAAGGCTCTGTTAGTCTTGTTTTGGAGTATTCTTCCTAATTTTTCCCATGCCATTGACTTCACGAGATAAGAACAGTTGTTGTTTAGAGCAGGATTTCCCAGTTTGTAGCAGGGGATCATAGGATACTTAGCAGTATCACGCAATGCCAGGGCATCCTCCCAGTAGTGACAACTGCAAATGTCTCCTAATATATCCAAATGTCCCTGGAGGGGGAAAAGAGAACACTAGGTGAGATTCACTCATTTAGAGCACTTTGTTATGTGCTCTTTTAATTAAAATTATAAAAACTATAAGACATAGATATAGTTTATTCTATTGTGATAAGGTAAAATTTGATATGTAGTCAATGAAGTCTGATGGAGAAGTGGATGGATATTTCGATGTTAGGCTTCCACATAATTAGGGAGAGATGAATTGTATCAGGGAATGTTACTGATGCCATCTGTCTCCCTTTTGTCTTTTCATCTTCCTAAGTTTGATCAGGAATGTTCAGGGTGTGGGTCAGAGGATACCTTTTGGTCTTTTATTTAGTGTCATGGATTTTTTTTTTGTCTTTTTGTGCTTTTTGTTGGTAATTTCACTGCTTAAAATGCCCCCAACACAGTGCTGACGTGCCAACCAGTGCCCTGAAGTGCAAGAAGTCTGTGACTTTTCTTTTGGAGCAAATGTGGGCTGTAGTCCTAGTAGACCTGAATTTAATGATATCAATAAGTGCAGTATGGTAATTAGGTTGGCTTAAAGCAGAAATATCCATAAATCGAAGTTGTGTATTCACCATTTGATGAAAGTATTTTTATTGGAAATTCATAGGTTTCTAACCCTATGTTTTCCTAAGGAGCTAATACACTATTCTTTGAAACCATACAGCATGACTAACGCAGTGATTTGTTTCTTTATTGTGGGCGGGCATGTGCTGGAGGTTGAACCCAGACTCTTGTGCATGTTGCCAGCTCTCTGCCTCTGGGCTCTGACCCGAATCCATTGATTTGCTTCTAAAAATCACTTCTGAGCCTGCACTAGGCCTGGGGGGTCCTTCAGGCTGGTGCAGAGGCATCAGCTCCTCCCCTCCCTCCCCTCCACAGCATGCTGCAGAGGAGGAGGAAGGTGCAATGGCTAAGACTGGCGCTCCAGCAGGATCCTGCTTGCTGCGTGTGTGTCCCTGCATTGTTGCTTGACTTCATTTCCTTGTCAATAAAATATGACAGTCCCTACCTCAGAGTTTTGAGCACAGAACGATATAGTACATGTCAAACATTTAACCGGTGTGTTTCCAATAAAAAGATTGATCTATGGTTATTCAGAACCTATCGACATTTTAACCATTACTTGTAAACAGCAATCATTGTGCCAGGTACTATAGTAACCTCTTCCCTATCCATTATTTCATGAATTCTTACAATGTATGTTAACCAATTTGTCAACTAGTGCTCTGCTTTATGCTCCACCTTATGACATCTTAATTACGAACAGACACAGGAGTGAAACCATGAATGTTAAATTTTAAACTTGCAGAGCTGGTTCATGTTTGACCCTAGGCACTGAGCGAGGTGCACATAAGAGACTTCAGATTGTTTTCCTTGTTTGCCTGAATGGTGGGCACACCGATAACTGCCACATTCATCTCTATACATTTTGTTTGTCAAAATATTTTATTAGATTTTCAAAAGCAATGCATTTTTTTTTTTAGCAAATTCAAAAGTATAAAGAGTGAGAGCATTTCCCCCCATGCTCCAGAAATAACTTACTGTTGGCTTTTTGATAAGAACCTAGACCATGTATGTATATATTTTTTAAAACAAAATTGAGACCACGTGGAATCTATCTGTCCCTGGATATGCATTTCCCATGCTGTTCCTTTTCCTTTTAACCTGTATAGCATTTCACGCTGAGAGCACGGTACTTATTTCTCCAGTTGCCTTTTGACGAACATTCTGGTTGCCATCCCACTCACCCCCAATTACAAATGTGCTGTAATGAATATATTTGTATATTGTGTGTGCCTGCTAGTGTTTCTGTCTGATGAAATCACAGAAGCAGATTTTTGCGGCACGGGGAAGGTCGAAATGTGCCACAGGAATGTCCTCCTCCAGGCTCACTCCATCAGGACAGGAGGGAGCCCAGGTCTGTACTCCTCACCTGCTCTGGATATTCTACACTCGTGACTGTCCAGGGCAGGTCAGAAGTTCTCATTGTTTCAGTGTGCAGTCCTTTGACGGTTGCACAGATGGAGAGCTTTTTCCATCTCTGTTGAGTACCTGTATTTCTTCTTTCCTTGCACCACCTGCTTCTGTCATTCATTCATTCTTTTTCTTGTTCTCTGATTAACTGAGGAACTCTGTGTTGCCACTGTGTTTCGTGGTTTCGGAACAGTTGGTGGCCCGAAAACTTCTGGCCTTCTCTGTCCTGCTGGTGACAGCTGGAGTCAGCACTCTCATCCAGATATCCAGGTTTATGTGGAATGGCCTTTGGCCACACTGCAGCCCAGTTTGCAAATCTAGGAGCATTTTGACAGGGTTTTGTTTTTGCAACCTATGGAAGCTCACACACGGCCAGAGTATTAAGTCCCCACGTCCCTGTCAAATTGTTTGCAATTGTCCTGAGGTGGAGTATGGCTTTGCCATTGTGAAACCAGCCATCTGAGTCTCTGACCCTTGCAGAGGAATCGGGGTGGGGGTGCACCTGGGTGGATTTTCAGGGTCCTCCTGTGTGCCCCGCAGAGTTTGTGAAGCGGCTCCGGTACTGTGAATACCTGGGGAAGTATTTCTGTGACAGCTGCCACTCCTACGCCGAGTCCTGCATCCCTGCGCGGATCTTCACGATGTGGGACTTCAGGAAGTACTATGTCAGCAATTTCTCCAAACAGCTGCTCGACCACATATGGCACCAGCCCATTTTCAATGTGCTGAGCATCCACCATAACCTCTCCGCAAAAGCCAAGGAACTCGACAGGGTGAAGGTGAGAGGGTGAGAGCGTCTTTGTGGAAGTGGGTTTGGCTGGAAATGTGAGTCTCTCTGGTCTCAGGGCCCATACAGACCCTCAGAGAGGTACACAGAAAACTGTGATGTGAGCTTCGGGGTTCTGAGGCCTCATCTGAATTGTATATAGATATTTTAAATATATTTTACACACGGACACACACTTTGTGTTTTTCTTGAAGAGGTCCTCCAAAGTGGTGTGTAAGCTTTAGACTCCCCAAACCTGGATCCATCCAGGACCCTCTGGATCCATCCAGGACCTTCTGGATCCATGGAGTCAGACATGCGCACCTGCTGCAGAGGCTGTTTGCCTCAAATGTTGGCCTTATACAGGGTGATAGTTCACTGTGAGATTTAACATGGGCCTGCTCGGTGCCAGAGTTATTGATCACGTGTAACTCTCTCTCTCTTCCCCTGGTGGTCTCTCCTGTTAGGACATCCAGGAGCAGGTCTTTCATATCAAGAAGCTGTTGAAGACTTGCAGGTTTGCTGACAGGTACGGTTCTCACAGGGCAGCCTGTGCTGCCTCCTCCATCTGCCCTCCCGCGGGCCTGCTGGCCTTGCCCCTCTCCTGGGCAGGTCTTAGTAATTACCTGTGGCACTGTTGGGATGGTGGCCACTCTTCAAAATCACTAGTGGAAAATTTAACTTGTTAAGAGAATGGGCCAGGACAAATATGAAAAGAAAGTACATTTGGTAAATCTGTATGAAATACCATTTATTTTATTATGTAGGTTCATTGATACTAAGTACCTTTCCACCAGGCACAGTGCTGTGCGCACCTATAATCCCAGCACTTTGGGAAGCCTGAGGCAGAGCTGCAAATTCAAGCACAGCCTTACTGAAACCCTGTCTCAGAATTTAACAAAATAAATAAATAAGAAGGGATGAGCATGTTGTTCAATGAGAAAGCTGTGAATTAAATTTCTGTGGCACAAAAAGGTACAGTTCCATCATTATGGGAGCATCACCACTGTCCATATGGAAAAGTCTTCATTTTAAAAGACAGAAAGTTATTTCTAACCTTTAAACACTGACTGCCTCCCCCCATGTCCCTGGCAACCACCTTTCAAGTTTATTTCTCTCAAATTTTATTACTTTGAGTACCTCATATAAGTGGGGTGCTACAGAATGTGTCATTTTGTGACTAGCTTATTTCACTTATTATATTCCCAAGATTCATTCATGTTGTAACCTAAGTCAGAATTTCCTAAACAATATTCCATTATAAGCCATTTACCCACCCATTGTAAGTTACCCATTCACCCAATGAATGACACTTGGGCATTTCCATTTCTTGCAAATAGTGTTATAAACCTAGGGACACTGGACTTGTTAAAATCCCTTACAGAGGGCTTGAGGCATGTCCACCTGGGTGAGACCATGACCTCCAGAACATACTTGTAAAGATAAATCCTAAGGACATATTACTGATATAGATAGAGATTTAGCTGAAATGTTTTTAAATAAGAAGTCCACCAAAAACTAATAAATTCAGCAAGGTAACAGGATATAAAATCAACATATAAAAATCAGTAGTGTTTCATACACCTATAATGAACCCACAGAGAAAGAGATTAGGAAAGCAATACCATCCACAATAGCTTCAAGAAATGTTAAACATTTAGGAATTAACGTAAGGAATTGAAAGACCTCTAATGAAAACTTTACCATAGTACTCTAAAAAAGAAGACCAAAGTGGACATCAGAAAATGGAAAGATGTCCCCTGTTCCTGGATAGACAGAACCAATATTGTCAAAATGGCCATACTTCCAAGCTCAATCAGAATACTAAGGGAATTCTCACAAAACTAGAGAAGAATCCTACAATTCATGCGGAAACAGAAGAGACCTATAATAGCAAAAGTCATCCTGGGTAGCAAGAGCAAAGCAGGAGGCACCACAACCCTGAATTTCAAGTTATGTTACAAAGCTATAGTGATAAAAACAGCCTGATACTGGCGCAAAACAGATGTGGATCAGTGAAACAAAACAGAGGATATTGAAACAACCCCAGGCACATTCAGCCATCTAGTCTTTGATAAGGGAATCAAAGATACACCCAGGAGGAATGATAACCTCTTTAACAAATGGTGCTGAGAAAATTGGCTAAAAATATGCAGATTGAATCTAGACCTGTATCTCTCATTATGTTCTAAAATAAAATCAAAATGGATCAAAGTTCTAAATATTCAAGACAAAACATCTAATCTTCTGGAAGATGAAATAGATAAAACTCTTAAAGACACAGGCATAGGCAAAGACTTTCTGAACAAGACCACAGTAACACAAGAAATATTGTCATTAATGAACAGTTAGGATTATATCAAATGAAAAGCTTCTGTAAAGCATACGAAACAGCCCACAGAGTGAAAGAATAACCAACCTACAGAAGGGAGAAAATCTTTTCCAGCTACTCCTTGGACAAAAGACTAATGTCTAGAATATTAACAAAGAACTCAAAACACTAGACAGCTGAAATAACAGGTCCAGTCCAAAAATGGGCAACTGAAAAGAATAGACACTTCACAGAAGGAGACAACTGATCAATAAATACGTGATATAATATTCAACATTGGTGGCCATTGGAGAAATGCAAATCAAAATAACACTGATTTCACTTTGCTCCAGGAAGAGTGGCTGTTACCAAGAAATCAATAACAAAAGCTGACAGAGCTGAGGGGACGGAAAGAACACTTCTGTACTGTTGGTGGGAGTGTAAGCCGGTGTAACCACTACGGAGATTGCTCAGAACACTAAACATAGAAATTTCCCAGCTAGGTTGCTTCCTGAAAGAGACTTCGTATTACAGTGATTCATGCATGATTATAGCAGCACAACTCATAATAGCTGAGTCTTGGAATTGGTGTTTGTGTCCATCTGCAGGTGAATGGATAACGAAAATGTATTCATATGTAATAGAGGTCTACTGTGCTATAAAGCAGGATAATATGAGGCATTTGTAGGAAAATGGATACACTTTGAGACCATAAAATTAAATAAAAGAAGATACACAAGCTTAAATGTCACATGGTTTCTGTCATATGAGAAAACCAGAAAATAAATAAATTAAAGAGCAAAATAAAACATAAATAGGGAGATAGATATTTTACAGATGAGAATGGGACTAAGAGATGAAAGGAGAGGAGACAATGAGAGTATGAGATGTAAAAAGAATTAAAATATGTTACCTGTATCAACTCCCCATGATGAATATAATCATGTACTGCAAACATGTACTAGTAAGAATTTTTATAATATAAGGAGTCGTATTAAAAATCTACCCAGTGTTCAGGAAAGGTGATACTTAATGCCCCGTGTATAATATAGAAGGGGGAACAGCCAATAAAGTTTTAGGCATGAATTAATGGAAAGATTTTTTTCCAAATGCACTTTATTTCGAGGATTAAAAGGAAAAGAAGTAGAAGAAAAGAAAAACAGACAAAATTTCACAGCATGTCAGTCAAGGATGCAACTTACATACATTGCCCCTTGTCATCCCAAGTCATTCACCCAGAGCATCTGCATTTCATCATCCAGACAACACCAGCACAGATCTTTCTGCTCAATGTCTTCAATTTCTTCAGAGAAATCAGTATACAATCATATACATACTTCTTTTCTTTCAGCTTTTCATGCTAATGAAATAATACAGTGTTTACACATGTGTTTATTTCATTAATAAGTATGTTCTCAAGTTGCATTCATTTGCCTATAAAAGTCTAATGGAGAGATTTTTAAGTGGAAAGGAGTAAGTTATCAAGGCGATTAAGATTATTTTCATAATAGATGAGGTCATAAGGTTTGAAAATTTTTTCCTTTGAAAGCTTTTTTTAGTTTTCGATCTTTATTTCATGATGATACATTGCTTTTGAATTAAATTTCTTGGGGAAAAGTATACAGTAGTCATTGGACCTTGAGTCCCTACCTCTTGCTTTGACAATGACAGCTTAATACTCTTGAGGGTCTTGGTTTTCTCATTGATGATGTGTAACAGAACCATACATTCTCTCTTCCATGAAAATTTCTTGAATGGCCATTCTTTGCTTCAGATTTTTAAAAAATCTCTGTCAAGCACAGTAGGAAAGTCAAATAGATTCTTGTTAGACTGCATGTTACACACATGCGCGTGCGCACAGACACACACACACACACACACACACACACACACACACACACACACACGAGGTGTCCTGATAATACAGTGGAGATGGCTTTCAACTCAGTTTTCAGACAGTGACAGCGAACAAGACTTCCGGTGTGGGGGAGCCTAACCCTGTCAAGGGTACGTCGGACCCAATAAGAAGGATCTGGAACCTTGAGGCAGAAGACGCAGAATGAATGATGTCCCAGGCTGTGGGACAGAATTAAAGGCTGTGTGGCATTAACTGTGCCATGTCCAGTGTGACTGGCTTGGGGAGGGGATGGGTGACTCTGCCAATAACTGACCTAGGGAATTCTGGAGCCTGGGTGCATTTGAAGTTCTGGATCCCCATGGGATGTGTAAGTGACTTTGACTGCCAGCACGTGGAGGCTCAAGTCTTGAGTTCAGCGCTGGACTCGGGTTTGAGTCACCCAGCTCTTTGTGCCCAGTAAGTCCCCTCCCATGACAGTCATGGTCATGGACAAGCTTGAAGCTTGACCGGAATGAAGATAGCAGTCATTTTGAATACTGGTGATCAGACAGTACTTGGCACGCATTTTTCAGACTTGGAAATCAAATGCTCTGTTTTCTTTCACTCAGTACAGGCGTGGCGTGGGCGGATAGTGTCTGTTCATTCAATCTTTGGTATCAGTGTTTATGAATGTTTAACATCTTTCTGGCTTCGAGGCAAACTTGAAAAGTGTAGAGTAGTGATCATGGTTCTCTACTGTTGTCAGGGCTATTTTTGTAAATCACATTTTAAAAATTGAGCATTAGTGCTAAGAGCAGTCATCAGGCCTGCCTGTCCCTGGGCTGTGTGCTATGTGGGTGGCCTTCTGAGTTTCCCTCCTTGTCTCTGGCAGTACGTTAAAGGAGTTTGAGCAGGTGCCCGGACACCTGACTGATGAGCTCCACCTGTTCTCCCTGGAGGACCTCGTCAGGACCAAGAAAGGGCTGCTGGCGCCCCTGCTCAGGGACGTTCTGAAAACTTCCTTGGCACACGTGGCCGGCTGTGAGGTAAGGGTTTGCCCGCAGCGAGTACAGCCCTGAGCTGTTCCTCGCCCACGGCCAGGGCTGCACGCTCTGCACTTGACTGCACTGGATGCTTACTAACTGTGAGGGAAGTGCTGAGAACTACCAAGCCACGGGCATCCTGCTGGCAACTGGCAGAGCTGGGACACAACGTGGGGCCCGCAGCTCTTCATCAGGATGCTGAGCCCCGATTGGAGCCCACTGTGTCTTGAATCAGTCACTTGGACTGATCTAGTGAAAAAAAAAAAAAAAAGCTTTGTGTCTACATGAACTGAAGGATTCTAGTCCAGCAACCAGAAATGGACCTCCAAGAATTAGAACAGGGGTTTAAAGCCAGGTGTGGTGGCATGTCTGTGAGTTCCCCCTACTTGGGAGGCTGAGGCAAAAGCCTCGGAATTCATCAGTTGAGCCCAGGAGTTAAGGCCAGAAGGCCACATGGACGCCACTGTCTTTCCTAGGCTGCACTGAATGAAGAGAAATTATCTTATGCTGCATATAAAACATATAATGTAATTAATGTATATAATGAAGTCTCTTTTTTTTTATTGGTACCGGGGATTGAACTCACAATGTTGCACTCACCCAGCAGGCGCTTATACCGCTGAGCTAAATCCCCAACCCAACAAAGTCTCTTTTTAAGAATATTTTTAAATACACCACAGGCATGTCCAACCCACAGGCTGCAGGTTGAATGTATGTCTAAGAGGCTTGTTTACTTGCTTTCCTCAATCCTTGGACAAAATACCCAACTAGAGAGAAGGAGGCGCTGTGGGGGGAGATGCACCCTCCAGGCCACACCCAGTGACCCATCGCTAGCCAGGCCCTGCTTCTTAACAGCCAGCTGGCTCTGTCACTCCCACGACTCAGGCACCTCCCTGAGCCCCATCTGTGAGTGCAGAAGCCACTTGGGGAGCCCCCAAATCTAAAGAAAGTTGAAATCACGGGCCTTGATTTCAACCTTGGGGACAAAAATTCATGCCTATGAAGTTCTGTAAGAGCAGTAACATAGTCATCTGAAGCACTGCCAGTTTGTAACTGTTTTGTGCCTTCCTTACAGCTGTGTCAGGGAAAGGGCTTCATTTGTGAGTTTTGCCGGAGTACAACTGTCATCTTCCCATTTCAGACTGCAACATGTAGAAGATGCTCAGGTATTTTAATAACTTCACCACTTAGGCTTAATAATAGTCTAACTTATTGCAAAGTTATTTGGTTTAATAACAGATCACATTAGCTTATGCTGACTAGTTAAATTACTTAAGCATGGTTAGTTGATCTTTCAGTGAGGACTGAACCCAGAATCTTTGCACTGTGCTAACGTCCGCAGCCCTTTAAAATTTTTTTTGTAAATATTTTGAGACAAGGTCTAAGCCCCAGAGTTTTTCAGGCTAAGGTCAGATTTCTAGTCCTCCTGCCTTAGGCTTTCGTAGTGCTGACATTACAGGTGCACGCCTCTGTGCTTGGCTAGTTACTTTAAAATACTCTGATGCTAGTGTACTCATGCGGTAAACTGCAGATCATACGATTTTGGGAACTCAAGCAAGAAATATTTTTTTGGGACAGAGACAAAGACTGATGTCTTTTGGGATTTAGATGGAGGAGAGGGTCCTATTTTTGCCTGTGCCTGCCTCTGCTCTGTAACTGGATCACATTCACACCCAACAGTGGGGTGCTGTCCTGACCACCTTTGTGTCATAATAGCAGAGTTGGCACCATTGTTAAAGCACTATGTGGCCTCCGAGGCCTAAAACATTTACCATCTGGCAGTTCACCACAAAGCTTGCTGACCCTTATTCTAGGGTATTAATGTTCAAGAGAATCACATTCTTTCTAAGTTGTTTCATGACAGAGAGTTTGCTATTGGATCCTAACTTCACCCTTGACATGGGGACAGTATCTTCTAGGCCACTCTTCAGGTTGCCTGCCCCACGCTGTCAGGCACTACGGTGTTTCAGGATGGATTCCCGAAAGAGAGACACAGAGGCAGGGATCTGTGTGCAAAGCCTCATGTGTGAAGAAAGCAGGACTGTGCTGTGGTTGCACAGAAGACCCCCAACCATCTGATGGGAGCTGGGGGGCTGGGGTGGCCGTTAAGTATTGTCCCAACTTGGGGATGCCGTGCTGGCTTGGTCTTCAAACTCCACGGTGACAGTTGCAGGGTACTGGCAGAGCCAGCAGAAGTGCCTGAGTTGGAGAAAGCTGCTCTCTACTCAGGCCATTTCCTGAGAAGCAGCTCATCTCTCAGAGCCGTCAGCCCACCACGAGGCTGGGGCAGCATCAGCTTTGTACCATGTACCACGCCCTCTCCTACATCCATCAGCCCCTCTGGGCCTCATGTTCTTCATCTGTGCGCCTTTCAACCTGGCTGATCTCTGTGTAGAGGATTGGGGTCTGTATTCAGATGCACACTGTGCCTCCCGAGGGTGAGCATGAGCATCTGAATAAGGCACCTATGTGACAAAACAAGACCGTGTGCTTGCTAACGCCCGATTTCCTTGCCTGCAGCGTGCCGGGCTTGCTTTCACAAACACTGCTTCCAGTCCTCGGGCTGCCCGCGGTGTGCACGGATCACAGCTCGGAGAAGACTTATGGAAAGTTTGCCCTTGCCAGCCACCTGATGTCCAAGTGTCTTGTGGAAAACACTGTTCAACATGGCTTATGTAACGGTGATTTGTGGCATATTATCGGTCGTGCTGCTTCAGGCATCAGAAATTCCTCGTTCTGTATATTTGAGTCTTAGAAGAATGCAGTCTTTGTTACTAAACAGTTGTTACTAACAGTGTTATTTATAAATGTTTGACATTTTTGCTGCTATTAGGGTTTTTTTTTAAACAGACTTGTTTTTGATACTTCTTAAATTTTATTGGAATGGTGTTTAGCTAATTTCTGAGCCCTGTACTATTTTTTATGAGTTGTAAATGACAAGATGAATTACTTCTTTTTTTAAAGCTTGTTTTTTGAAACTGGTAATTGCAGTGAACAAAAATCCAACCAAAGATCTATTTCGTCAGACTTTTTTTTTCTTTCAGGAAACAGACTATATTTAAATACCTGTGTCAGACATACATATTTATTCCAGGGTTAGCGTAGAGAGTACATGTTACTTCCGCAGTCATATCGATTTCAATGTGAATTTATCTCCGCAGGGCCGGGATTCAGTAGAAATGTAATTTGAAGTGGATGCCTCTAGACGGCGCTGTTTCAGGGGCGCACACCAGCCTGTATTTGTGATCACTATGTCACATTAATCCCTGACTCAAGGGAGGCAGAGGTGAATAAAACTTCACCCTCATAGCTACTTTAAAAATTGAATGTAGGTTATTTGAAGAGTTAAATACACTGAGAGAAAATACACTTACTGAACAGTGTGATCCAAGTAATAACACTAGAGTTGTTGATATCAAGTAATAAGATTAGATGAGATAGGTGTGGTGGCACATGTAATCTCAGCACTCAGGAAGCTAAGGCAGGAGCATTGCAAGTTCAAGGCCCACGTGAACCACATGGCAAATCCAAGGTCAGCCTGAACTACACTGTGAGACTCAGTCTCCAAAAACCAAAAAGCTTACCATAATAATAAGTTTAGGAGAATCACAAAACCGTGAACTCCTTTTTCCTGGTGCTTCTCAATTTGTGTGCCTCCCTGAAACATGTGACCTAGCCTATTTTTTTCTTCAGCGTCCTGTACCCTCTCTCCTACTTGAGAAAGGGATGCAGCCCCATATCCCTTAGTGGGACATCTGGAGGCCGAGTGGTTTGCAGGGTAGGACTGCGTACAGACATGCCCCCTACGCCTCTACCTGAACCACATGGCAAATGAAGGTAACGAAAGCCATCAATCTGGTGTCTTCATTTTGTTAGCTTTTTCTTGTCTCTGGTGCTTCTGACAAAGCACGTAGGATAAATGCAATCTAATTTCAAACACCAATAGCTTGTATTTTCTCTTAGGAATCAAGGGTCAGAGTTTCATGTTCAATTCCTTAAAATAACCAAGTGTCAGCAGCTCCATTTTAGAGATGAGGAAACCAAAACTTAGAAAAAAGAAGCAACTCACTGGTTTCTGTGGGTAGTATGTGGTGGAACTGGCTTGGCAGTTGATTCTGCCCGCCTCCAAAGCTTGTGTTCCTAGCGCAGAATTTTGGGAATCTTTTTAAGAATAGGAGCTGAAACAAAATTAACATGCTAAATAAGCCACATCAGGGTGTGGTGGGGGGTGTTTTCCACATTGTTTCCTTGTGTTGAGTTGAAGTAAAGGCTCAGACAAGCACTGCTTTAAGGTCTGGGTTTAAGGACACTGTGTTTGTGAGGCACTTGTCTGTAAGTTATGTGTGTGCACATGCACGCGCGTGTGTATGTTGCGTGGTTATTTGTGATGAACCTTTTGTTACTACCAGTGCACAGTCATTGCCAGGAAGAGATACTTTTCTTTTCTTTTTTTTCTTTTTTCTTAGGAAGAATGAGGTAATTTAAACAACTGCTCCACAGCTTTCCGGACACTCAGGTCCTCCCCAGCATGGCTTCCACCTGGAGAGGTTCCTGTTAGAACAGAGAAGTGGCCTCTGCCCACTGGCAGCACCCAGTAGGGAAGTGTCTATGGTGGCGTCTGTGCTGTTTGGTGGGATTCACTTGTCGGGCAGGGTTTCCATTTGGCCCTTCCTGAGCTGCTGGAAGGAGCTTTGCGTTGCCCGTCAGCTCACCTGTCATCCACTGGGAGGCTCTGTGACCGCGTTGTGATCCTCAGTGATCAGGTTCCTGCCTTTGCCTTCCTCAGCTGGACAGCGGCAGTGAGCTGTCATTTGCAGTTCAGAGTCTCACCTGCGGGTAGACAGTTATCACCACTGTGAGGCACAGGATATGGGCTGAGAAAGGGAACCTTCCTGAAGGCCTGCCGGTATGCTGACCTGGGTGAGAGTTACTAGTCAGGGCTTTGGGTTGAATCCCAGGACTGCTGCTTTCTACCTGTGCAGCTCTGGGTGAGCAGTTCCCCTGAGCAGAGCTCCGTTTGTCCAGTGAAGGATAGTGCTACATGCAGTAGACATGAGAGTGCAGAGAGCACACAAGAGGGATTACTGTAAGCAAGAGCCCAGTAGGCGCTAATAATTAGATGCAGACGGCTTGGAAGCCGAGTCGTATCTCCTGTTTTCTTTACCTCTGGGAAAGTTACTCCGAGCCTCAATTTGCCACATGAGGATTAGAACAATACCTACGATTGTGAGTTGACCTGTATTCCCCCACACATGTTGGAGTCCCAGCTCCAGACACCAGTGCCCGCGGCTGTAGCAGACCGGCCTGGTCCCTGTCACGGAACACGGGAAGTATGGGACTGGAAGAGGAAACGGCGAGTGAGGTGAAGGGGGCTGCTCGGGAAGGGGCGGCTGCAGGATCAGGCGGACACCTGGATCAGCGTGGGGAAACGCATCCTTGGCTGTGTCACAGTTCATCTCTTCCGCCTTTCCTCCTTTCCAGCACGGAGAGCTGCCTGCACATGCGTGCAGATGCAGCAGAGCTGGCTGTCCCTGTTTAATGCTGAAGCTGTCAGTTGTGTTTGTAGTCTGCCCACAATGGCATCACTCACGAGTTACTTTAGTTTCTAGTAAAGTGAGAAAAGAGAACTATGATTTCCCTTTTCAAACCAGTGGAGGAATTATTTAAAAAACAGAACCTTAAATATTCATTTTAAGGGAGCATGCTGATAAAGATGGAGACAAAGAAAACAATGTGGATCTACTTCACCCTCTCTAGTGATGCGCTCCAAAGGCTCGTGGCTGAGTGGCTTCCTGACGTGCTGTCTGGCTGACAGGCTAGATCTGGGGGGCAAAGAGCCAAGTCCCAAGCCCTTTCTGACACATCCTCAGTGTTCCCTCCAGTGAGAAGAAATCGGGGTGCAGCGGCTGCATGAGTGCATTTCATTTCCCATACCGGCACCCAGAGTCCTAGGCCAGAAACCAGAATTGTGCCTGCCTTCAGGAACCTTCCTGCAGGCTTGCCAGGCAGTGATGGGGAAGCTCCTGGTTGCTTATTTAAGAAACTACTTCCTTCTGACACCATTACTCCTACTATCTTGTGCTGGTGCTCAGTCCCATTCCCTTTAATCAACTCCTATTCACGGGTCATTTATTGAGCACATACTGTTCCCAGGCACAGGAAGAGGCCTTTGAAGCAGGGCTGATGTAGAGTGCATTTACCGAGATTGACACTTTCCCCTACACTCCCCTCATTATGGACCTCAGGAGTGCTCACCTGACCTCCAGAGGCTCTGAGGAAGGCCTTCTGTATGCCTGCCCCACAGGAAATGACCTACTAGTTCATGATGGACCATCTTTCTTTTGTCAAGTTGTGGATGCTGGCTTCCATTAACTACAGGCCTGTAGGAAAAGCTGTGAGGTGCTCATACTTCTCAGTGTGTTCACTGATAATCGGCTCTCACAGGCCACCCCCTTTGCTGGAAGGTGGCCAGTGTGGCTGCAGGGTAGCCTGTGGGACGCAAGTGGAAGGGACATGCATTACTTCTAGTGTGGCCTCCCACATCCTGCTTGATCTCATTTCTCTCTGCCTGTCAGGAAGGGAAGGATTGTGTGAGTGCAGTAATACAGTTAAAAGTCCCAGCTCCCTGTGTGGAGATTTGGAAAAGTGGGACCTGCAGGAGACTTCTTTGGATGAGGTCCCGGGCTTGGTGGTACTTGTCCCTGCAGTGTGAGCTCGCAACACCCTGACTAACTCAGAAGTTCTGATTCCTGCTCAGAAAAGGGGCTGAGGTAGGTTTGTCACGGGTCAGTCAGTCAGTCTGCTAGCACAGAACAGTTAGGAGGAGGGATATGAACAACAGCAATTCATCTCTCGTGGTTCTGAAGGCTGGAGGTTGATGACCAAAGCCAACTCGGTGTCAGGGGCGGGTCTGCTTCCTGGTTCATAGGTGGTGACTTCTCCCCGTGCCCTCACAGTGTGGAGGAGAAAAGGACCGTGCTGGGGATCGTTTGGTAAAAGCACTAATCCATTCAGGAGAGCCGTACCCACAGGGTACCTATGATACCATCATTCCCGGGGTGATGAATCCTACGTATCTCCTTTATAGCGGACATGCGGAGAGCGAGCTGTTCTATTCCAAGTTACACACTGTTGTCTAGAACTCCTCGTATTGAAAAATAAATGCGCGGGGCTGGGGATTTAGCTCAGCGGCATAGGTGCCTGCCTTGTAAGCGCAGGGTCGTGAGTTTGATCCCTGGTACCGATAAAAAAAAAAAAAAGCAAAAAAGAATGCACAAGCGGAGGGAAAACACCTCCTTGTCCTCATATCGTTCTCCAGCCCCATGCTCGCTTTCACAGCAACATTTTTGAGAGAACGGTCTGTAATTTTTATATTCAGTTCTATACCTTCTGTTTTCTCCATTACTTATTCCGATAGAGTTGTGGTCTCAACCACTGCACCAGAACTGTCAAGGTTACTGACAGTACCCACTAGTCCCTTTCATTGCCTTCCTCTTATTTTACCTCTCAGGCACATTTTCCAGGCTTCCTGGTTTCCTTTAAAACATAATTAACAATCAGAGACAGCTGCTCCAGGACCTGGACTTGTGACACCTGGCAAATAACACAAGAAAGAAAAAAGAGGAAAGCTCTGGAAATCAAGAAAGAACTAACAGGCGAACTAGAAATCTCAGAGAAACTGGAAAAACGAAGATAATGGAGAAGAAAGAAAAAAACTGTGGAATGGTCACGCGTGGTGTGGTGGGGAGAGAAGGAGCCCACTCACACACGGAGTGCGGCGGGGCAGCCACCAGGCTCCTCTCCCAAATCCCACCCAACACACTGCTGTTCCCTCCAGGCCAGCCTCCGCACACTGCTGTGCTGTGCCGTGCAGCAGACACGTGGCCGCCAGCCCTTCCCCTGCAGGCCTTGCAGTGACGGGGCTGGCTCCGCAGCGTTCCAAGACCTGCTCCACACAGGGCATCTTTTCTGTGTGGTTGGTGCCCGCGTGCTGCAGAATGTTCAATAATGTGACCATCATATGCTGGTTAGAGGAATGGGACCAGAAACATGTTTTCTCTCATTTTTATCAAGCACTTAAGATTTTCTGCATGGGGGCTGGGGATTTAGCTCAGCGGCATAAGTGCCTGCCTTGCAAGCAGGCAGTCGTGAGTTCGATCCCTGGTACCGATAAAAAATGAAAAAGACAAAAAAAAAAAAAAAAAAAAAAGATTTTCTGCATGAAAATTTAAAGTGCAGAGGAAAACAAGTGATTTCCCACAAACAAATGATTCTCTACTGTTGGGAGCCGCGGCCGACACCGGTCACCTTACTTGGCGGACGTAGGGCCTGTGGGTGGGAGCGGAACCTGAGCTAGATTGCCCCTCCCATCGAGTGAGCCAAGTTGGCGCCTGCTTCCTGCCCCCTGATTGCCCTGGCGACTTAAATAACCCGCTCTGTAAGATAGTCTGCCTAGCAACAACTGATGTTAGCCAGTCAGCCCGCATCGCGCGCTTTAAACTGATTGGCTACTGTTACCCTATAAAAGTGAATGTCTCTCTCGCCACAAAAAAAAAAAAAACACAGAGAAAGCACAGAGAGAGATAGAGAAAGTCCACCGGCGAGAAAGGGCTGGTGACAGAGCGGAGGCCTCGCGGGGCCCACGCAGAGACAAATAAAGGCAAGGTTGCACACCGCCAGACTTTGTCGTGTGTCTTTCCTGCCGGCCGGGAGCGACCCCGACATTTGGTGGCCCGTACGGGGACTGATCAACCCCGAGACACGGCGGTGGTGTGCAACGCTCCAGCGTGGTGCTGCCGGACAGGTGAGTTGGGGATAAGCCTGGGCTCTGGGTGGCGCGCACCTACAGGGCTTTTAGACTCCCCTCAGGCTCACGCGTAGGTGACGGGTTCTTTAAGTCACACACGGTGAGTAACAGCCCTTAGAGGTTAAAAATGGGTAATTTACCGAGCGCGGAGGCGCGGCCCTTGGTAAAGGCCCTTAGAAAGCTTTTAAAAGCTAGAGACCTCAGGGTAGGTCAAAAAACACTGGAACTATTCATAGCAGAGATAGATAGGGTGGCTCCCTGGTTTTTACCCACGGGGCATTTAAACCTGCCGTCATGAGAGAAGTTAGGCGGGGACCTCGCCTCGGCGGAATTGGAAGGGGATATTTCGCCTGCTATTCGCCCCCTGTGGGAAATGATACATGCGTGCCTTGACTCCTATGCCGAGTTGCGCCGCGAATTGTGTGCGTGCGCCGCTCGAAAAAAGCAGAGAGAGGAAAAAGGGCCCCCGAGCGCTCTCTGGCGGGGAGGAGATAGAGAGCCATCCGCTCCGCCCTGGAGCTCTTCTCCAGAAGCGGCTCCCCACCGAGAGGCCGCTACAGGGAACCCTCCCTTCTCTCAGCCGGCACAGGAAGTGACGCCCCGTTCCACTCTGTCGCGACCGCCGTCCTATGACGTTGCGCTGCGGGGCGGACGGTATTTTCATGGGCGGCTACTCTGCCGAGCAGGCTGAGAAAAATGCCGGTCGAGGAAACGGGGGCTGGGGATTTAGCTCAGCGGCATAAGCGCCTGCCTTGTAAGCAGGCAATCGCGAGTTCGATCCCTGGTACCGATAAAAAAAAAAAAAAAAAAAACAAACGAAAAAGACCAAAAATAAAAAAAATAAAAATAAAAAATAAAAAATAAAAAGGGGGAGTAAGCCAAGGCCTGCCTCCAAAGGCGCGGTTATCTATGGCATGACAATGGATGGGCCCGGATCCGGTGGTTAGCTGGAACCGAGGCGCGGTTTGTGTTTTTCCGCAGGAACCGGGACGAAAACCACTGTGGGTCCCAGAGAGGTTGACGCGACAAGTCCCTCGACTGAAGATCAGGCCTGTTCCACCAGGGGCCAACCGCAGACCCAACAACAAGATGAGCCCTAAAAGAACTGCAAGACAATCCCTTTTTGGGGAGCCTGGAATGGCTTGCTCCCCTATGTTTTACCATTGTTAGGTCCCCTGTGCTCCTTGCTTCTGTTCTTACTTGTAGGACCATTCTTGCTCCGATGGGTTACATCATTTATTAATGGGTGCCTTGCGGCGGCCCGGCGTCAAGTACGCCTGGTTGCCCATGCGGCCCTGGCAGCAGCCCGTGATGGGCACAATGACCCCCAGGCCTACGCATGGCTCGCTCGACTGGCCTACGACCGGGTCTAGGGGTGGCGGGTCTTCCGCATTCCTTCCCTAATGACACCACACAGCAGGGTAGGTGAGTCAATGACGGGTAAGAGCGTGCCTCCCCAGCACGACTCGACCTAAGCCAGGCCCTACCCCATGGCGCACGAAAGCCGCTGGATTACTAGAATCTGACCAGATCTAGATGCCTCTCCGAGGGGATCACACGGAGGGGCATGAGTGCATGCCTATGTGCATCCAGGTTCCGTCCAGTTCACTCCTGGCCCTGGAAAAAGGACGAGGGTCTCAAGGCCTTGGCGGACCCGGGGCGGCCGACCAGGGTCCAAGCCAAGGGCCTACGGTGGGCCTCAACACAGGGCATAAGCCTCTGCACTCGATCCAGTGCGGGCTGCGATGCATACATTCATTCAAAGTAAATAAATTAGGGGGAGATGTTGGGAGCCGCGGCCGACACCGGTCGCCTTACTTGGCGGACGTAGGGCCTGTGGGTGGGAGCGGAGCCTGAGCTAGATTGCCCCTCCCATCGAGTGAGCCAAGTTGGCGCCTGCTTCCTGCCCCCTGATTGCCCTGGCGACTTAAACAACCCGCTCTGTAAGATAGTCTGCCTAGCAACAACTGATGTTAGCCAGTCAGCCCGCATCGCGCGCTTTAAACTGATTGGCTACTGTTACCCTATAAAAGTGAATGCCTCTCCCGCCACAAAAAAAAAAACACAGAGAAAGCACAGAGAGAGATAGAGAAAGTCCACTGGCGAGAAAGGGCTGGTGACAGAGCGGAGGCCTCGCGGGGCCCCCGCAGAGACAAATAAAGGCAAGGTTGCACACCGCCAGACTTTGTCGTGTGTCTTTCCTGCCGGCCGGGAGCGACCCCGACACTCTACCACTCCTTTGCCAAAAGTAAAAAATCAATCATTAAAATTCTTTATTTTCTGAAGTCAGAAATTATATGTGTCATTTAATTATAGTTTTCAGTAATCAAAATATCTGAAGGCAATTCTAAGCCCTTAGGAGAGTGCCATGGTTTGGTGATTCTTCTTTCTTCTTTTTCTTTCCTTTTTTTCTTCTCCTCCTCCTTCTCTTCCTGCTTCTTCTTTTTCCTTCTTTGTCTTCGTCTTTGTCTTCATCTGCATCATCTTTTTTAGACAGAAGCTTTCTATCTAGTCCAGCAAGGTACCCTTTTTGAACAGTCTTGCTGTGTAGTCCAGCAGGACGGCCTTGAACTCACTTTGCAGCCCAGGCTGGCCTCCAACTTGCAGTCATCCTGCCTTAGCCTGGAATAATAAGTGTGTACCACTATACCTGGCTATGGTTTGGACCTTAAATGCCCCCAAAGTCTTGTGTGTGGAAGGCTTGGTCCTCAGCTGAGGCTACTGGGAGTTGGTGGAGGCCGTACAAGGTGGTAGAACCCTTCGGAGGTGAGCCAAGTGGCAGGAAGCGAGGTCACTGTGTGCCCTTTAAGGAGACATTCGGACCCTGTGTCTTCCTCTCTTTGTTTCCTGGCCACCCTGAGGTGGGCGGCCTTCTCTGCCATGTGTTCCTGCTGCCATCATGTACTGCCTCACCTTGGGCCCAACAGTGACTGGGCCAACCATGGACTAAACTCACTGAAATTGTGAGCAGAAATAAATCTTCCCTCCTGTAGGTTAATGCGTCTCATGTTTTCATCACGGCAATGGAAAGCTACTAACATGGAGACCTCGGAGCGACACCTGAGTTGCATGTTTTCTCCTGGGAGTGAGAGAGCTCTGCGAAGAATGTCCATAATTGCTCTTTTTTCCTCCCCCGATATCCCTGGCCTCCATGTTCCAGTCAGAATCCTTCCTGAGTCTGCCTGTATATTCTAGATGAGCCATCTATGCAGCCAACAGCCCAGTGAAGACCTCACATGCTCTCGATTCTCTCTCCCAGTCAACACCAGGAAGATGCTAAAAATCAATTATTTTATTTTTGTTACCAGGGATTGAACTCACGACCTCACGCTTGCCAGGCAGGCACTCATGCCGCTGAGCTAAACTCTCAGGCAAAATCAATTATTTTAGATCAGCAAAATGCAGACCACAATAGTGTTCATTAGCTTAACTCGACCATTCTTTTTCTTGCATATTTTATTATTATACATTGAGGTTAAAAGTGCTACATGTACTGCAATGAGATATCAATATACACCCACTAAAATGTATACAATTTAATAGGCCAATGACACCAAATGCTGATTAGGATGTTGGAGCAACAGGAACTCTCATACATTACTAGTGGACATACAGAACGGTCAGCATGAGCCACATGGCAGAACAGTTTGACAACTTCCAAAGGTAAATGCATACGAACATATGAACTAAAAGTTCCACTCCTAGATATTTTACTAAAAGAACTGGAAATGACACGGAAATTCATCAATAAAGTGTTAAATTCTGGTAGATTTGTATGATAAAATTTCACACAGAAATAAAGTGAATAAAAACTGCTAATAAATCCAAAACCCACATGCACAAAAAGAAGAGCAATTATAAATTTTGTGGCAGAGGGGTGCGTATTCTTGTAATTTGAACAACTACTTTGGAGATAACAATATGCAACATATTAACCAGGGTTAATCTCCTATTGTTTTGAAATTCTGTATCACCATTTTTATTTTCACTTTTAAAATTAAAAAAATAAAAAAGCTCTTTTAATCTATGTGCATGAAATTCTATAACACGCAAACCAATAGTGACCGACAAGCACATCAGTGGTTGCCTGGGCCAGGATTCCAAGAAAGAGATTGACTTCAAAGAAGATCAGAAAACCTTGTAGGAATCATACTGCAAACCCCAAAATTGCATATTCTATATACCGTATAGTCTTTCCTGACACATGTGTAATCACTAATTGTGATAAGTTGATTTGAGTAAGACCTTCCCAGCAGATTAGTAAATTCTGGGTATTTCTGTGAGTGATTAACATGCAGACCACCAAACTGAGTAAGACCCATCTTGAATGTTGGTAGTACCAACCAATAGGCCAGGAGCATGGGCGCAATAAAAAAGGGGAAAGTGTTTCCCTTTTGTAGAAGAACTCCAGTTTTTGACGTTGCGTTTGGACATGTGACCGGCGCAGCTCCAATGAAACAGGAGACAAGAGACGCTTTTGTGGACGAGTTAACTGCTAGTTTATTTATGCGGGCTCTGGTTTATATATTTGGCCGTGACCAATCACAGGCTGCCACAAGGAAGCAGGGTGGGAATGGGATGCAGGCTCTGGCTACTATATCCAGCTGTGGCCAATCAGGAGTTGCCACAGAGTACGGAGTAGAGCGCGGGGTGCGCACGGGTTGGCTAATTTAAAGAGGGACGTAGCGCATTGCGGAAGCTGGCGTGGTGCTTAGTCCTGGGTGGGGTATGGTATGTTGAGCGCCTGCGCCCAACATCTCCCCCTTTCTTTATAACTGACGCAGGGTCTCCAGAGGTCGGTGCCCCTCGTGAGGTGTCACGCTGCAGTCATGACAGTGCCTCACTACTCGTTGGTGCTCTTTTGGAGGGGGCGGGAGTATTGTTTTATGAGCCCAACCCACATGCTCACCGACATGGGGACCGGGGTGTCTCCTGGCCAAGGATGACACCCCCTGCGATGCTTTGCTCCACACCTGCGTCACAGCATGGCGAGCCATGCTGCCGGGCTTTGACCAGATTCCACGATCAGCAATGCTTGTTTGATACTTTGTCCCTATTTTTTTGTCTGCGAATCCGACAGAGCAGAAGTAGACTGCCGAATGCGGCAAGTGTAGTCATGGTAGCCAGAGCCCCTGTTCCTGCCCATTCCTTTATGAAAGCCAATTGGAGAGTTGGCCCGAGCTGGATCACAGGAAACTCGTCTGAGTCTGCCATAACTGGAATCGGTGCAAACTGGGGTACCTGCATAACGACAGCTGAAAGTGTACTGTTATCCCAACATTGTAACACATAACAGGTTGCGGTGGAGCAATTTAGAAAAGTCATATTTGTGGTGTTTATGGTGGCCAGGGAGAATCCCCATAATATCTCCTGGGAGTATCCATCCAGGGGGTCACAGGCGGTAAACTGGAGGACCCTTGTCCAGATAGGGGTGCAGAAGGATCCCTGGGGCCTCCGAGCTGGCGCACCCTTAATCGTGGCGGGCTCGACTTGGGCCCCCTGCAAGGTGCGGGTCAGGAGGTAGAGCCGTAGGTCTTATACGGGGCAGCCCTGGGATCCCGTACTCACTTTCATTGACCCATTTACTCTGAGAAATCCTGCGTTGCAGCTCATTTATGGCCTCAGAGTAGGGCCCTCTCGACTGCGTGTGTGTGACTTCCCCTCTTTTGGTGGTGTCTGCATCCACCATTTTGTATACTTCTTCTTCCTCCCCCTCACTATCTGAGGAGTCCTTTGTTTCTGGGTTGGGTGGGGTCACCTCGCCTGCGGCACTGGACTCGCGAGATTGCTCGCGGGAGGATTCTGCCTGATGGTAATCAAGCGCCATGGCGCCAGCCCTTATATGGTCACGACAAGAGGTGTCTGCAAGGCAGCTTCTCACTACGGCCCAAAGGGGTCTGACTCCTGGCTCCAGGAGGCCATTTTCTGCTGCAAAGTCAAGATCTCTCCCTAATTTATCCCAGCTGGGGATGGTAATGGACCCCGTGGGACCAAACCAAGGTGTTACCTTATCAACCTGATCGAGGAAGTTTTGAATTTGTTCTCGTTTCATTTGTAATCCCTTTTCTCTCAGTAAGTCGCTTAAGGCGACTGACAGTGGCTGAGTAGCCGTGTTACCCATGTTAACCGGAATTTCAAGAGTTTCTTTTTATTTTTTATTTTTTTTTCTTTTTCCTTTTTTTTTTTTTTAACAGGGACAGCTTAGTCCCCGCGCCCCTTTACGGCACCCCCAAAACCTGCCTCTTTACGGCACCGGGAACTCTCTTTACGACTTCCTCGACCCTTGCGACGTGTCCGCCCAAGGTTGCCCGATAGCCCCCGCTATCCGGCCTGCAGCCCCCGCTGCCTGTTGCATAGCCCCCGCTACCAACGTTGAGCAGTTTAACCTGTCAGCCCCCGCCCGCCAAGTAGCCCCCCGCTATTGGCGCTTGACGGTTTTACCTGTTAACGTCTCTGTTCCATCGGAGAGAGGGTCTCAGCGTTCCGGGCTCCCCGTACGGGCCACCAGTTGACCGGCGCAGCTCCAATGAAACAGGAGACAAGAGACGCTTTTGTGGACGACAGTTAACTGCTAGTTTATTTATGCGGGCTCTGGTTTATATATTTGGCCGTGACCAATCACAGGCTGCCACAAGGAAGCAGGGCGGGAATGGGATGCAGGCTCTGGCTACTATATCCAGCTGTGGCCAATCAGGAGTTGCCACAGAGTACGGAGTAGAGCACGGGGTGCGCACGGGTTGGCTAATTTAAAGAGGGACGTAGCGCATTGCGGAAGCTGGCGTGGTCCTTAGTCCCGGGTGGGGTATGGTATGTTGAGCGCCTGCGCCCAACAGACATGGTCTCCAGTTTCTTCAGTCCTCAGACCCAGACTTGCCCAGGGACTCTGCTGAGCTCCCGGGCTTCCCCCTTTCACAGCTCCTGAATCCCGTGTCCTCCCGCACACAGACGCCATTCTGACCCTTCTGCCCCTGATCCGCAGACAGCCACTATGAAGTTTCCAACTCTGATTCGGTAAGCCAACCTAGTAGATACCTTTATAATACACTATGTAGTATCTTGCATGTTTATTTCAGGATCCACATTCAGAATTTTAAAAACTTCAACTATATTGAAGTATAATTTACCTACATAAAATGTACCTATATTTAAATCTGTCACTCAAAGACATTTTCACAAATGTC